GGGATCCAGTGGAATAGAACCTACAAAGAAGGAAAAAATTATTCTTTCAAGAGCTGAAAGCAAGATATAGCTAGAAGACTCTCCTCTGTGAAAACTGACGGATTTCAATGTCAAATTGAACACATCACATCAGTGAGAATTGTCTGCAATTTGCAAAGACCCCTTGTGATAAGCTTGACACAACAAATAATTTAGTTGACATTCCTTAAGCTTCCAACAAACGAGACCTTTGCATTTCCAAACAATACACTTAGCTGCTTGTTTTTTTTTTTTAACATAGACAAGTGCAATAAATGGTGAAAAGACCATTTCCCATGAAACATGATCTAGATTTTTCCTGACACCTCTATCCCCCTTCCTGTGTAGTCACTGACGCTAGTAAGTATTTTTACCTAAAAATGAAGCATTGCAGCTCTTTGCCAAGGCTTCACCTCCTCCTTTTGAAACACGTTTGTACATTTCTAAAAGAAAAAAAGTGGAATATTATCTCATACTATGAAGATGAGGTGTACTATAACAGTCAAAAATACAACACGTCATAGTGTATAAAATATTTTTTTAAAATCATAAAAAGGAATAGCCTCCTACACACATGCATTTTGCATGGACTTCTCAGGCAATGTTTCCTCCCAGATACCGTAGGTGTGCAGCGAAAGGTCTCAAAACTCTGACCCTATTTCAGAATGACGCAAAAGAAACTGATACCCTGTTTAAGGCCTGAACCAAGAAAAATGAAATCCAATTCAAGGAAAAAACAAAAACTATGAATGGCACCAACAGGTCAAGTGTATTTCACTTCTGTGACACTGGAAGTTTAAAAGCATCAAGTGTAGAACTTATTTTCTGTTTAGCTGGGCATTTACACACTGCAATGTTAGCGGACAAAATTTAGGTAGGTACTCTGTCTAAGGATCACACTGTGAACGCAATTAATGTCAACAGGGGCAAAAATTGTTTTAAGGTGCTTATTTTAAGGACTGAGAACCTCAAAAACTATACCTTATCCCATGATACAAGCCTATATAGCCCAAATATTGGAGAACCCCCTTGGGTGTTTCCTGCAAAGAGCATCTGTATAGGAGGCTAACACTTACATTACAAATGAGGACAGACAAATCCACTTGTGTTCTCCACCACTCTAGGATTGGGATTTTAGTTCTCTTGCACAATGTTAGTTCTCTCCTAACTTCAGACAATGCCACACCCTGAGAAACAACAGAAACGTCATTCAAAAATCCATAAAAATGCCGAGTATTACATACGTCTAGTTCATTCTGGTAAATTTCCCACAAATCTTTTCTTAAGCAATTGAAGATGGAGAAGTATCCCATGCCCAGGAACAACTGCTGATATTTTTCTTTCATTGAGAACAAAGGGAAAAAATGAGGCTTAAAATTTCAGAACTGGAGACCAATTTTCCCAGTCAACTGATACTAATCTTAGGCTTTGGCCAAACAATGATTAGAGCCGATTCCAACAGAATTGATTGACTATTAAAAGGCTAGTAAATGCCTAAGTGAAAGGCTGGCCTTTCTTCAATGCTCTTAGGGCTAAATTAACAATGCATTAGTCAGAATACACAAATAAGGCTAACTAATAATTGACAGCATTTATAGAAAGTTTATTATAAAATAAAATACTTTAATATGCATACCTGAGGGGTAGTGACAAAAATTGCTCCCTCTGGATGTTGCAGACTTTCTACTAATTGTAATCATTTATGTGCTCATCAGATGTTCCTGGATTGAACAAAACCAATCTTAGAACAGAGCAATAATGATAGGTTTACACTGCATAATGCAAAATGAATGTGCACTATTGTACTATCAGCAAAGTTAAGAGTATATCTGCTCCGATCAAGGGAGGTCACCTCCAGTCTCCTAGTATGGAGTACTTATTGGAATCCCTTAAATGTCCTTAATGAGGAGCTAGCCTATTGCTGGATACCCTTTAGTATCCCCGTATTTTTGCAGTTCAGGTTTCCCAACAACTTGTTAGTACTCGTTTCTCCTCCTATGTGATGAGAAGCATTGCAAATCAAGTCTCTCACCTAAAAGTGCAGTACAAAGACCCATGAACAGCCCTTGAATCCAGACCTGCTGATCTACAGTGTATGACATTAACCACTGGGCCGCTGTACCTCACACATCAGTACATCACAAGTCTCTGAAAATAACATTTTATATTGTCATCGTACCTGGAGGTGTATCCATACTGGTAATCCAGGTCACCCCAACATACATCCAATAGAAACTGCCTGATCATTGCTAAAAAAAGAAACAAACCGGTAACTGTCACGTGAGAACTGAAGAAAGTGTGCAGGAACATCAAAATGTTTGTAGCACTCTACAGAATTTGTTCCATTTTAAAAATCATTAATAAAAGCACATTGCAGACAGTATGGTGCACTGGCCTGGAACAAAGATGTTTTAAAATAGTAGTAGAACATTTTGCTGATTTCAAACATTTTCCTTTCATTCAAAAGACCAGAAAAGCCACAGTATTTCCAAAAGAATTTGCATAACTTTTGTACAAATAGTTACACTGTAGATCCAGTGGTGACCAGCTTTGGGTGTCACATAAAAAATTTTCTAATATATATCAACTAGACATAATACTGTCCCCAAAAAAGAAAATTAAGTATTGTTTGCTCTCTATCAACAAAGCCTAATAATAGTTACCTGAAGTTTCCTACATTTTAAACTAAGGTGATTAAATTGTGCATTTTACAAAAAATTACTCAATATGTTGTGGCATAGCTCCTTGAAGTGATTTCAGCAGAGTTTCACTAATGATCAAAGAATCAGATCTAGCTGTGACCGTCCGTAAGTTCCAAGAGATCATACCCACGGTTTGTAAACGAACTGCAGAACAGTCTTCCATACCTTCCTCGCCTTAAGACTTCCGGCATGTAATTCAGAATAATCACAATCTTTGACGAAAGAACCAAGACGAAAATAGTACATTTACAAACTGCTGAGGTTCGACCTTGTTCGGAACAGCAAAACTCATGTGGTTTTTTTTGCCACGTGACTCTACATCGAGGGAAAACTGGCGCCTAGTGCGCAATACCGCTGTTCAACTCAATGCGGTAGCATTTACACTAGCTTTGAATCACAAGCTTGCACAGGGCAAGGTAAGTCAAAAAATATGTAAGTGAAGAGCATAAAGGAATAAATACCATTTTTCTTAGGTCCTCTCCACACAGCAGCATCATCTCTTATTTAATAACAAGAAACCAATTGACATTCCGTTGGTCCTTGTCTGTGTAAACTGGAACCCAACCAAAAGGAAAGGTTCACTGTGATCTCTTGAAAATACTTGTAAACACCTTCAGCAAAGAACATAAGCAAGCTTTGATGTCAATAACATAACAGCTGATCTTATAAAAAAAAATTTAGAAAGTGAAGTATGAATATGAAAAGTATAATAATTAAAACACAGGTCTGGAGCATTTTTACTGCACAGAAGATAATCTAAATTATGTGAATTAAAAAACTTCCCAAGATCAAGTAAGTTCACCCACAAAAGTTCCAAGGAAGTGGGGTACTGGCCCCTGACAGACCAGCATTCCATGCACGAGAAGCTGCAATACTTCATGTCAGTTTCTTGTTATCACACTGGAGATAAGGAATTATCCTGTAATGAGCCACTTAAGTTTGCAGACACTCTTTTACTGTTACACATCAAACACAAGTGTGAGAGTTGTAACACAAAGTAAATTAAAGTATATATGCCTGATTTAGTGAATGGCTCCCACAGAATGGCTTCAGTACATGATCTTTTATGTTATGACTTACCCAACACTGGTGTATATCTTTTCCTTCTACATTCATCATCCTTGGAATACTTGGTCCACATAAGTCAACATCAAGTATGCCACCCTGGAAGATAAAGAGATAACAAAAAGATTAGCCATTTATTGTAAGCAAGGTAGTACTGCAGCCTG